TTCCAGCACATCCCAAAGGTGCTCTATTGGACTGAGATCTGGTGACTGTGGAGGCCATTGGAGTACAGTGAACTCATTGTCATGTTTGAGATGATGTGAGCTTTGTGACATGGTGCGTTATCCTGCTGGAAGTAGCCATCAGAAGATGGGTACACTGTGGTCATAAAGGGATGGACACGCTCAGCAACAATACTCAGGTAGGCTGTGGTGTTTAAACCATGCTCAGTTGGTACTAAGAAAATCTCCCCCACACCATTACACCACCAGCAGCAGCCTGAAGCGTTGATACAAGGCAGGATGGATCCATGCTTCCATCTGAATGTGGTTTTTCCAATCTTCTATTGTCCAGTTTTGGTGAATTGTAGCCTCAGTTTCCTGTTGTTAGCTGACAGGAGTGGCACCTGGTGTGGTCTTCTGCTGCTGTAGCCCATCTGCTTCAAGGTTGGACAAGGTGTTGTTGCTTCAGAGATGCTCTTCTGCACACCTTGGTTGGAACCAGTGCTTATTTGACTTCCTGTTGCCTTTCTATCATCTTGAACCAGTCTGGCCATTCTCCTCTGACCTCTGGCATCAACAAGGCATTTTGGCTCACTGGATATTTGCTCTTTTTGGGACCATCCTCTGTAAACCCTAGAGATGGTTGTGCTGAAAATCCCAGTAAATACTCAGACCAGCCCGTCTGGCACCAACAACCATGCCACGTTCAAAGTCACTTCAATCACCTTTCTTCATCATTCTGATGCTCCGTGTGAACTTCAGCAGCTCGTCTTCACCATGTCCACATGAGTAAATGTTAATGAGCTGCTGACACCTGATTGGCTGATTAGCTATTTGTGCTAACGAGCAGTTGAACAGGTATACCTAAAAAAAGTGGGCGGTGTCTGTATATGCATACTTATCTATGATGACATCAGAGGGATGATTACAGCGGAGGCACACGAATGCTTCTTCAGTGATGAAGTCCAAATGACAAATTTAAAAAGCGCATTGTTTTTAAGATAAACACATTTTTCTAAAGCTCCTGAAAAGTTGTTATTTTGGAGATTTAAGATTTTTATCTGATGCCATCATTGTGCAGCAGTGGCGGCGGGCTCCAGTGAAGACGAGCACAAAAGAAAAGATCAATAACAGATTGAAAGCTTTTCTGTCTTTTGTAGTTCGTCACGGTTCTGATTTAAAGTGGACGATGAAGAAGATGAAGAGTCTGTCTGACACTAATCCCAGATATGTTTGGAATTTATCACCAGACGTTTTTGGGATACCTTATTGGATCTCTCTAATAAAAACAGACAAAAGCATTTTGCTTTTCTTGCTGTGGATTCTCTTGCAGCTTCCAGAGAAGTGAACTGAATCCTAATAAAGTCTTCATGTAATCTTTTAACTCTCGTGTGTGGCCCTCACATAAGACTTTCAAATTAACCTTTAGCAGGAAATTTAGCGCTGCGGTTCACGGATGACAGCTGCAGCATCAGTGATGTGTGCAGGAGAAATAAACACAATATTAGATATCTCTGATGCAGAGAAGCAACAGATCATTTAGCACTTTAATTATAATGTGTGTGTGGAAGTGAAGGTGGCGGCGCACACGTCTCACTTACACATGAACGTGAGCGACAGCCTGCCAGAGATGCACAGAAATTAAGATCCCTAACGAGCAACGGGTGCCCAGCTCATAAATCTACTCCTGTACGGTGACGTCCCCTTTCTGGATAATGACAATCAGTTGTCATGGCAACAGATTAGGTGCCGCTAGGAGATAGGGGGAGGGGAGGTGGGGGTTTTAGAAAGATAGCTCACCTGCGATGGCGTGAGGGTCTGCAGAGTACTCCTGAACATCCAACACGCCGCAGTCCAAAGACGCCTTCAGCTTCTTCAGTTTGGAGGCGGACGGAGCGACTCTGAACAAACCCTGAGGCACAAAACACTAGTTTGAACCTCCGCTCCCACAGTCACCCTCCAGCTTTGAGTTACAGCAGCTACAAGGAGTTTCTAACTGATTTAATTTAATACTGATGCTTCTTTATCACCTACGTACACAAGCAAACGACACCATCAGTGAGAAGACTGTCTTCATGATTATTCCGACCCAATCGCCAGAATAAATGTTGATATTTAACATTTGTAAGTTTCATGTGTCGCAGATATTAATATATAAGAAGTCTGTGCTCTAGAGAAAGGATCAGCACTCAGTGAATAACCTCCTAAGCCCTATGATAAGCTATTATGGCAAGGCTTAACTACACAGACCAGTGAGCAGTGATAACTAGCATGTCTTTGGGGTCATCGGGTGGGAACCTCCTTTCACCGGTGTTTCGTCTAGTTGGTCCCACGACACCTCCAGGAGGCTAGACAGTGATCTCTGGCGTCCCAGAGACACTCCCCTAATGCCAGGTCTCACTGCTCCCCACACCAACCCAACAACCTCCTTTACCTTACTTACTCATGGCTTTCTCAGCCCAAACATCACTGCCACCTTCAACAAACCCAGGCTCCGTACATGTGAGCTCCAGGTAGAGACAGTGCTGATACTACCTTTTCTAGCACATTCACCATACTCTATTTCACACTCTACATAGCATAACTACAATATAAGCTAAAGTTAAAGGAGATAAATAAACTCACAGGATCAGCAAACACACTCACTTTGCAGCATGGTCTCAAACAAAATGGATTCCAATAGGCCACTCCCACACTTAAATAACCTTCCTCTTCCTGGATTTCTCCTGACAGGAAGTGGATCTCTCCACCTGATCTCAAGGAGTTATGTGCCCTGCTTAGTAGTTCCCCCTGCTGGCCCCCAACTGACATTATTTCTTCTCACCCAGATCCATTGGCTTGCTCTACCTGCTTCATCTGACATTTCCTTCACTGTCTTCCTCAAACTCTGTCCCCGCACTCCGAGATCTCCCAGGAGTGAGACAATTGATCTTGCTATGAATCCCCTACACCCCACTTCCACTGGACAAATCCTAGTCTTCCATCCTCGCTGCTCAGCTTCTGCTCCTAAGTCTGCATATCTAAGCTTTTTTCTTTCATAGGCTTCTTCCACTGAGTCTTCCCAAGGAACTGTCAGCTCAATGAAATAAACTATCTGTTGACTCACTGACCACAACACTAAGTCAGTGTTGGTACAAACTATTACCTCGTGTTTTAGCTTAAAATACACATTTGTTTTCACCACACACATGGCTGCAAATGTCCCAAAGTCTCTTTAACTAGAATCACCACCTTGTGGTTGTTTCCCTCTGTTCACCCATCAAGTTACAGTTTATGTACGTATCTTGTTAAAACATGATGATTCACAAACATTTTTGACGCGGCAGCACAGAAGATCTAAACAATCAGCACAGTGTAAAGATGAGAGTCACCAGCTCAGTATCTGACCAAATATTTCTCCTGTTTCTTGATACATCACGTTCACATGAATAGGACAGACGTACACAGGTATAGACGTTTGTACACGTGTGACACGACACGTGATGTTTCTCCCTCCATATTTAGAGCATGTGCATTCGTCCACTCCACAATAAAAGCATGAAAGTAGTAGTAGTTTTTTTTAATTGTTTTTTTGGGACATTAAACTCCACTGTTGATGAACGGACAGCTGCAGTCAGCAGCAGCTCTGGTGTTAACTCTCTTATTTTCAACTGACACAAAACTGTGAAATCAACACGGAGAATAAATTCATCAGCTTCAGATGAAATGAAACAAACGATCCCAAAACATTATCCATAATGTTCAGCAAACATCACATTAAGTCTAATTACTGTAGAATGCAAATTAACTTACTCATAATGATATATTTGTTTTTTAGTTTTAATCACATAAAAACATTTACTGTATCCTCAATGCGTCTCCATTAAACAATCATTACATCCTGAGCAATTAAAGCTGCGCAGCTCACCGACCTGATGACATTAACCAGCGCACATTAATTAAACACTTTATTTGTTTATTAGTTTCTTTAAGGAAACTAAACTGGACCTCATTACAGTTCCCTTCACTGACTTCTCTCCAGTAAATGTGTTTATTGTGTCCGTGCATGTGTGTGTGCGTCATGTAAAGGACCGATGCAGAGTGTGCTGTTGTTGTGGAGTCTGACCTCCTCCTGCATGCCACACTCCAGCAGCATGGTGACACAGGCCTCGATGGGAAAAGCAATATCTCTCCCGCTGAGCGCTAAGTGCTCCTCTAATGGTTTCCCGTAGCACGGCTTCTCCACCCAGGTCTCTGTTGAACACACACACACACACACACACACACACACACACACACACACACACATCATCATCCATGTATGATCATCAGACACTGAAGAAGAGAACTGTGTGCAGGAACAAGAAAACCATAAAGGATGAAGAGAAAACATCCAGTGAACATGTATGTTCACAACCACATGTTCTCATTGACTCCAGATATTAAGATTCTCCACATTAATATTCACATTTGGACGACTGTATCGCAGTGTGTCTGTGTGAATAACCCAAACAAGTTCACACAGCCAGTTTCTGAAGCACGGTGGATTTGAAGTCTTCCAGTCTTTTAAAATGAGTTTTATGGCGAGCACTGCGCCTGGCGACAGAGCTGTCTGCATGTATGATACGTGATGGACGCATTAAAGAGAACTTTGAACATCCAAAAAGAGCCAAGTCCCTGTCAGGAGAGAGCAGCCTGTGGTTTGTCCAGTTATACTTTCTTTCATTCAATTTAAATGTATTTGAATTTAAATGTATTTATTTATTCATTTTTATGCATTTTTTTATGTTTGACTTTGGCCCCTCCCGTCCCTCATATAACTGTGCATCCTTCCTGTAAAAGTGAATTTAGCTGAACTCCCTTTGCTGCTGCACTTTCATATAATGTGTTTCAGGTTATTGCTGATCCTATTATTTATATTCTGTTCTACATATTTTGAATCTGTGTTGTGTGTGTTGTGTGTGAGTGCAGTGTGGAGGGGGCAGCAGCTGCATTTCATTGTGCAAATCCTGCATTTTATGACTAATTAAAACTTTGATTGTTGCTGATTTAGTCATTAATATTTAATGTTACCAAAGAGTTCAAACCACGTATAAAAACCTTGAAAACAATATATGTTGGCTGAAGAAGAATCAAGCTGTATCCTGTCTATCAAAGTGCCCACAAGGTCATGAAGTACACGTTATATTGATATTCATCATATTTCTACTGACGTGAGGAGTTAAACATAAAGGTTGATCTTACTGCTGAAGCTGTCATTAAACAGCAGGACCACAGACTGTGCACTAAGAGACACGAGCGCTGCAGCAGAGCCTGAGCACCATGTCAGAGAAGAGTGACAAAACAGACGGCATCGTGAGTGTGTTGTTCTCAGCCTCACCCTGATGAGCTTTGATCTGAGGCAGCACACTCTGAAGCAGCTCTAATGACTTCCTGTGGTACTCCGCCTGGACTTCTATCAGCTAGACAGAGAGGAGAGATCAGAGAGTCTGTGATGCACCAACAGAGTATGTTTTTGTTTCCCTACTGAAGCCATAGGCGCAGCAGAGACGAGCACTTACTGTCTGGAAGTAGCTTGCATAGTCGATTTCTTTGGCCACAAAACTGTACATGTCTGCTGATAACTGATCCTGGGGACGACACAGGAAAACACAAAGTCAATGACATTAAAAACAGACCTTTCTTTAAAGCAGACACTTTGAGTTGTAACAGTAGGAAAAGCACAGGTGTATTTAATTACACTAATGATGGCTGCGAGCTCTCAGATCGTGCACACTGGGACACTTAATGTCGCTGAGCCTTTGTTAATGTTATTAGTCACACCTGTTAGTTTCCTGCTGAGACAAGTCAAAGCATCTGTTGTGTTCTGTTCACCAAACACTAGAAGAGCTTGAAAAGACTTCTTAAAGACTTCTTTAGGACTCAAAGACAGTCTGAGTCTTTAGTCACACACTAAGATTCTGCAAAGACTGGGGATCTTGCAGGGTCACTATTTGCAAGACTAAAACTAGATTCCTTTTGATATTGTTTCCCATCCTGCTGCTGCTGCTGGTGGCAAATATTACACCAACGTCCCTAAAAGAATCACGACATCAGCAATGCCTTACATCACATAAGATAAGAGATGTTACATGTCGACAGTATTCTTGTCAATTCAGCACCAATGTCATCTAAAAAGATAAACCACTGTTAGCCTCCGATGTTTAGCCGCACTATTCTACCAGGAGGAGACTGTGGGAATGAGACTGTGGGAATGAGAGGCCAACTGTTTCCAAAATTAAAATTCCTCACTAAAAGAAATGCTGGTTGGTGGATCAGATACACACTGAATTAAGTTTGTCCTCCTTTTCCAAGAGAGCTGAGACTTACTCACGTTCTTGGGGCTCCCTGGAATCCCCTTCATGTTTCCTGTCCACCCTGTTAGCTGCTTCCTGTTTGGTGCTGGTTGTTTTCAATATTCACATCATACTAACTGAACTAAATGCAAGAACTAAAACTAAAATCTTACGATAATAATAAACATGTTTGATTTTGTCGGAGCATCAAGATAAAACTACAGTTGTTTGCCTCTGTGCACCTGCTGCACCGTGACAGTTTACATCCATGTCTGTGTTTACAAACAGAAGTTTAAAGAAACTCTCTTGAGGTGTTCTTGAGATATCTTGTTTACAGGAATGAGACAGATGCAAGGTCACAATGACCTTTGACCTTTGACCACCAAACCTCAATCAGTTCATTGTTGAGTCCAAGTGAACATTTCTGCCAAAGTTACGGACAGACGGGCAACGCGACAACACACTGCTTGATGCATGATGCTTACACCAAACAGTCGAGTGAAGCGTGCCACAACTTAGCGAAACCTGAATGATTTTTTTTTCCAACTTTGGAATCTGCGACAGTGAAATTGCTTGAAAAGGGTGCAAAAGGGTGCAACCAGGGTGCAGTGTCGTATTGTGGCAATTGCTCTTGCATTCATCACTCTTCACCCTCACTTTGCAATCCTTAGCAAAGTGGGAAGCTGAGGCAGAAAAGATGGCAGACTTACCTGTGGAACACCTAAGCGTGGATCCTCCCTTCACACACGTAACATAACCAGCTCAGTGGCCTTGTGGTAGAGTGTCCGTCCTGAGACTGGGAGGTCGTGGGTTCGATCCCTGGCCGGGTCATACCAAAGACTATAAAAATGGGACCCACTGCCTCCCTGCTTGGCACTCAGCATCAGGGGTTGGAATTGGGGGGTTAGATCACCACATGATTCCGAGCGCGGCACCGCTGCTGCTCACCGCTCCCTCAGGGGATGGGTCAAATGCGGAGAACAAATTTCACACGCTCAGGTGTGTGACAATCAGTGGAACTTTTACCTTTACCTTTACGTGGGGTTAGATGTGTTTGGTCCATGGTCGGTTACTGCCAGACGTACGAGAGGAGGTCAAGCATGCAGTAAACGTTGGGCAGTCCTGTTCACTTGTGTGAGCATGAGAGCCGTGCACATAGAAGTCATCGAATCTACGGATACCTCAAGCTGTATCGGCGCCCTGAGACGTTTCTCCGCCATCAGAGGTCCTGCCAAACGTCTTCAGTCAGATTGCGGCACAAACTTTGTTGCAGCCTCAACAGAGCTGGGATTTAACAAAGAGGAGCCAGACCTGAGAGTCCAGAGGTATTTGAGTGAACAAGGCTGCACCTGGGAGTTCAACCCCCCTCATTCCTCCCACAGGGGGGGCTCCTGGGAGAGAGTGATTGGCGTGGCTCGTAGGATCCTTGACTGCATGTTGTCAGAGAAGCAAATCCACCTAACCCACGAGGTACTGTGCACCCTTATGTCGGAAGTCTCGGCTATCATAAATGCTAGACCCCTCATCCCAACCTCAACCGATCCTGATTCACCATTCATCCTCTCACCTGCGATGCTGCTTACCCAGAAGGCTGGTGCACCTCCTCCACTGGGTCATTTTACAGACACAGATCTGCTCAGGAGACCATGGAAGCAGGTGCAGAGACTCGCCAACAGATTTTGGACACGGTGGAGACGAGATGATCTCCCCACACTTCAGAGTCGGCAAAAATGGAATGTTGTCCACCGCAACTTGGAAGCAGGACACCTTGTGAACCTCCTGAAAGATGATCAAGTGTCACGCAATGAGTGGCCCATGACAATGGTCACTGCAGCGTTTCCAAGTGCTGATGGGAAGGTGCCCAAGGCTGAGATCAAGACCACCAATCAAGGAACCCCTAGGACCTTCCTGAGACCCATCTCCCAGGTTATTCCTCTGTTGCCCGGAGAGGACAAGAGCAGTGGATAAATTGTGTGTGGCTCTATGGGCCAGGCAGGGAGTGTTCTGCCATTCTCTGAGGTCGCTCAGAGTTGATGTGTGCATGGGTAGTTTAAATTCAGTTGCAACATCATGTTGTGTTTAAGATTAATGGCAGTGTGTGTGAAATGGGCCACACCTACAGATATCTGGCAACAGTTTCTAGGAAGGCAGTGTGGAATAAAAACATATTGCCTCACAGCTGAGCTCACTGCTGCTCCTGGAGAGAACCAGCATGACATATTTTCCATCTCTCCCTGCTCTGTCCACACCTGGGGCTCTTCTCTTTTCTGTATTTTATGCCTCTTCTTCTCCTCTCTCCACCATCCTTCTGCCTGTGACGCAGAAATCGATCTCAGCACGCCATCTTAAAGGATGTCTGATTCCTGAAATGCATCTCGAGGGGAGAAGAGGCCTGCTGGGGGAGCTATGAGCGACGGTCACACAGGTGTGCCCTTTGCAAAAGTCTTTTTGGCACCCACGACGTGTTAAAGAGACGAAATCTAAAAACCTAAATGATAAAAACACTTGATTTATAGCTCTATGGGAGAAAAAGTGAACTGATTGTGAGTAGAGGTGATCACTGACTCGACAGATCTCCATGCGGTTGGCTGCCTCCTCCATCTCTTCCCTGAGGTGGTCGGCCTTGGCTCCTGTTGGCTGCAGGTTACTGGAAAGTCCTGAAGACTTGGTGGACTGATAATACCTGAGAGCAAAACAGAAACATTGTTTTATCAATATGTTTGGTTGATATTAACATTGACTGAAGAAGGATTCAGATTCTTTACTTACATAAAAACATTAAGTCCTGCATTCAAAACCTTATTTAAAGCTCCAGTGTGAAGGATTTAGGGAATATGAGTCTGGATCTTCAGTTATCAGAGACAAAATGTGAGCAAACATTAGCAGGTATTAGGCTAGCTGCCAAACAGCACGGGAGAAACACTGATCTGTGATGTGCAACTGTTTTGTTCAGTGTTTTTATCTGTTAAAGCTGATCCTCTGATTGAGAGAGGCCGAGACCCCTGAGGATAACTCAGCTCTCGGTAAAAACCTCATGAACAACGAACCCTGAGGCCGCCCCCTGACAGTCGATCAAACATTAGTCGACCAGAAAGCTCATTAGTTGGCAAGATGTCACTGGTCGCTTAAGGTGCGGACACACCAAACAGACATCAAAGAACTAGCGGTGACGAAAGCCAACTGTTGCTTCGTCTACGTCGCCTCACGTCGCCCTGTGTCAGTTGCATTTGAACACACTACACGGACTACATCCGACGGCCAAGTAGCACGTACGTTCTGCGCCTGCGTGAGAGAGAGCGGAGTGAGAGAGTGGTACATCCTGTCAGCCGAGGGGTTTCCTATCTGTGCAGCCGAGCACCGCAGCACCTCCACGGACTATTACATCCAGACGGTCCCGGTGTTTCCTCCGCAGGCTCCACTTCACTCAGCTGCCCGATAAACCCGCTGCTTCTTCCCACTTTAACCTGAATAACAAACCAGGGCTCGGTGCTCCGTTTGGATCCAAACGGAGAGCCGGGGCTAGCTCAGAGACTAGCGGAGGCTAACTGGCTGTGCTTCCCTCCGGTCATGCTGCGGCTAACGCTCCGCTAGCCGCTCCCAGCTAGCTCCGGTTTGTTATTCAGGTTGAAGTGTGAAGAAGCAGCGGGTCTGTGGGGCAGTTTTACTACAGGCATAAATAAACAAATAAAACCTGAACAGCAAATCAGAGTGATCTCTCTCACTGACAAGCTCCGCCGCCGATTCAACATGCTCAATCGGCTGAAAAGATGCCAACGCCGAAGTGCCGATGGTGCGGGACACACTGCAAAAACTAGGGCGACAGACGCTCACTGACGGCCCGACTTTGGTCGACGGCCGACCGTCGGCTTGGTGTGTCAGGGCCTTTAGTTGCAGAAAAAACAAAACGTCTCTGTATCTTTTACTATGTTTTATTGCTCTGTAAAACACTGTGAATCACCGTGTGTATGAAATGGGCGACAAAAATAAAGCTGCTTTTCCTAACGTTTCTGGATTAATGTGTCTGTTGCATTTTACTGCTGTAGATGTTTAAGGTTGAGGTATTTTATCTTCTTAATATACTGTTGGGTAGTTTAATCTACAGCAATGCATCATGGTCTAGATCATCATATGTTTGTAGTGTGGCTGTCCTGTGAGAACCACGTATCTTTTAGCTGATCCAACAGAGTTTTTATAGAGTATTGAGCTTAAGAAGAAGAAGAAGAGTTTCCTCAGCACATAAAGGAACTCTTCGTCCTTCAGTTTATCACAAACACTCAACATCAACACATCTGGAGATACGTGGTTTTAACTGGACAGGAAGGTCAAAGTAACTAAATCTGTCAGTCAAATGTAGTGGAGTACTGCAGATGTATAAAGTAGCATAGAATGGAGCAAAAAGGAAGGTACAAGTACCTCAACACTGTAACTGAGTACAGTACTTAGTTACATTGCACTGCTGTGAACGCACCGTGTTAAACTAAACAAGGACATTTTTTATTTGCCTTCAGCAGCTTCAGACTTTTGTTCAGAGAGTGATAATCATCAACACCAGAGTGTGACAGCTCCTCTAACAGAGTGACTCAACACTGAGGGAACAACACAACAAACTGTTCCTCTTTTTAAAGACAGTGCAAGTCTTTAGATAACAGCTGACTATGTACTTATCCTCAGACATTCAACTTAAGCTGTTTGCTCCTCTAATTCAAAGTCTCCTCGTCCCTCTCTGTCTGACTTTCTGTCTGAGTTGAGTCTCTGGGTGGAGATAATATGTCGTGCTGCCAGAGGAGCTCAGCACACAGAAGCATGATGGGAAAAACTGTCTCAGATTTGGGTCACTAAAAAAAAAAAAAGACTGACTGGACTGCAGAGAGGAAATCACATTTCTCTCCATGTCACTGCTCAGAGTGGCAGTGAAGTGACAGTGAATCAGCACAAACAGTGTGGTGATTGTATGTTTCAGGGATCCAGAAACAGCCTCTGATTGGACGGGAGAGAAATCTGCACTGACATGATGAGTCCAACCGTTCAAGGTCACTAAGAGGTTTTCACACCTGAGGTCTGAAGTCCGAAGATATCAGCTTGTTAAACACTGAAAAGTTTTGGAGCTTTGAGCCTCAACACACTTTGATAATTAGCTAAAGGAGCCCTGTGGAGATTTCTCTAAGACGTTTATTACACAGTTTCATCTTGTTGTATGAATCAGGAACCAATAAAATAGTTTGTGGTTCCTGCTGGAACTTAAATGTAGATACAGTGAAGGAAAACAATATGAGGAACAACTGGGTATTTTGGAGGAGAGGAGAAATTAATTATATCACATAAGTATCTTTGGCCATCAGGCTACAGGGCCGCTACTAAGTCCCTTCTTTAAGTCTCCTTTGCATTTTTACACAGGCCACTCCAGTGTGTTACTGTAGACACAGCCTGGAGTCATCGCAGAGTCATTAGAGGTGTGACATATCTGCGTCACCAGCACGTTCTAGACAATAACGATGGTAAAACGTGACAATGAATGAAGTTTTATGACTAAGTTCAGGAACAAAGAGCACGCCTCAACATCATCATCATCTACAGAAGAGCAGGCGAACAGATGACTCCCACACTCCGTCTCAACTTCCTGTTTCTGTTGCACCCTTCTCCCTTCAGCCGACACCAGACCGCCGTAAGACTCCACCTTCCACCTTCCTTTCTTCTGTCCCTACAACCATCCCTCATCCCTGAACTCTCATCCCAGATCCCTCTACCCTCATCCCTCCATCCCAAATCCCATGACCCTCATCCCTTCATCCCTGAACCCTCATCCTCATTATCCATTATACGTAATAATCTATAACTCTCCCGGCGTGGTCTTTGTTAGTAAACAACCATTTAAAGTCTCTGCTATATGGCGGCTGATCTCGTCCTCTGTTCGAGACTAAGAAGCTCCCAAAATGTCATTAATTCCCAATTTGCAGACATTTATGGCTGTTGTTCTTCTTCCTTAAGTTAGCTGCTAACTGCTAACAGCTGCTGCTCTTCTTCCTTGAGTTAGCTGCAGCTGCTGTTCTTCTTCCTTGAGTTAGTTGCTAACTGCTAACAGCTGCAGCTCTTCTTCCTTGAGTTTGCTGCTAACTGCTAACAGCTGCTGCTCTTTTTCCTTGAGTTTGCTGCTAACTGCTAACAGCTGCTGCTCTTCTTCCTTGAGTTAGCTGCTAACTGCTAACAGCTGCTGTTCTGGGTAATGAGTAATATGTACGTTGATGCTATCCAGTGTGCAGGTGCCCATCACAACGACCTCACACACTGCTCTGTAGTGTACCCTGTACCTTACACTGACACACCCACCTGTTGCTCCCTTGTTCCCCACAGTCTTGTTTTCTTCTACTGTTCTTACATTTAATCAGTATTCTCAGTCCTATGAGGGAAGACTAGCAGAGTATTTTATTGATGCCTCGTTAATATCAAAACATGACACTAAATCGTGAGCTGTTTAATAAAGTTATTGACAAACAGAAGCTGTGTGTCCATCCAGTGTTTCAGGTTAAGAAAGTGGACAAATAAAGGTGGACATTAAACCAGCCTGTGATGTTCTTATTCTATAATTTATTTTGTCTCTTTAATTTATTATGAAAACATTTATTGGATCTTTTTTCACTTTTTATTTATTCAATGATATATTTATTTTATTCAGCTCCAATTTGAAAATATAATTGTTCATCTGTATGTATCATCTGTTTCATATCTGTGAATGTACATGAATATATTATAATTCCTTCACATAAATGGAAATGAGCACTGACACAATAAACTGTGTGTATAATCATCTTTAGCTCAATAACAAATATGTGAAATACATTCATTGTTGTTATCCAACAAATCCGACTGATGCATTTAATTAACCATAAAATATTTGTAAAGCTGATTGTTAAAGAGTTTAATCTCCACGTGTCTTCTCCACTGCATCTGTTTGTGTCTCATGGACCGTAACAATCACAGCTCTAAAGTTCATATATATATCTTCATGAAAAAGCACAAGTGAGATCATGTGACCAAAGCTCTTCTTTATAATTAAACACGTGCATCTTTTCCTCTGTGGTTTCAGCAGTGTGTTCTCAGCACAATCACTTTCTCTGAGTGCTGATAAATTCACAGAATATATATTTATAATTTTTTTCTTACAGAATTTCACCATCGTACCAAACAATAAATCCCAAACCAACACTGAACTGATCCAACAAACAAGTACTGTGTGTGTGATCAACGCCTGATACACCTTAAAGGGCCAGTGTGTAAAATGGGTTGAAAACAGTGACATCAGTGGTCAAATTCTAGATTGCAGGGCTCACTCGCTCACCCCTCCCGTCGGGTAAATGACGGTGGCCTCGTAGGGACAAAAAGCCTTGCGCACGAGTTTTTCAGGAGTAGGTCTATCTAGCGACGAGGTGAATGTTTATTTAGAAATCTAAACCATGTTACGATATTGTAATGAATCCCTCACGAGCAGGAGACCAGAGGAGCGTTCGGGAAAAAGGCCCGTTTATTTGAGCACTCCAGAAACTCCGGTAACACTCCACTCCGTCCCAAACTCTGACTCTTCTAGCGTAACAGACACACTTCATAACTTTACACACATACTCGTTTACCATACTAAGTGGGGACCCCCCTCCCCTCTCTGCTCCACCAATCTCCAGCCCGCACACTGACTGACAGCGTAGCCGGTAAACAGAGCTCAGCTGTTTATTTAGCCTAGCAATATCTCCGGACTATAGTAGCTGCAATGGACGACTTTGAACGCGATTTTGAAGAGTTTCTTGTAGCGGACACAGACCCAGAGCCATACCTGTTTGAGCCGGAGCATACAGATGAGGAACTCCATGTGTTTGATGCTGAGCGGGCGAGAAGAGAGGCTGAATGCACAGAATGGGATTCGGTGCTACTGCTACCATCGTTGGGGAGATATATCATCAGGAGGAAAAGCGCCGCAGAGAGTGCATCACAAGGAGTGAAGTTGCGTCTTCTTTTCCTCGCAGATGACGGTTCGGGTTCATTCTCTCCTGTTGCGTGGTAAGTGTGGTCCATTCGCAAACTTTATAACTAAAAAAACTTTTCACTACTCTCTATCGACGAACTACTAACACTCTCTGCTGTTTCCTCCTCCTTCTTCCTTCCTTCCGCTGTCTTCGTTGGTTCATTTATACACGCGAAACGCGTTCTCTGGCTGGCTGGATTGTCCACTCGGTCTGCCGTACATACATGGCGGCGCAAGATGGCGACCTCTCTAAAGCAAGGCCCTTGCTATATATATATATAAAAGCATAATTATAAGGCTACGAAAACCAAACGAATTTTATTTTATAGCGATCATACACTTGTATAAACATATTAATGGGTAGAATATTCAGATTCAGATTCAGATTGACAATAAACCATGCCAAATATTACACACTGGCCCTTTAAAGCAAAAAGAATGACGCAGCCAACACTGGCATTAAGTGAAGCTTTCACACTCCACACATTCACCGTGTGACATTAAATCCCAGTGACATTCAGTGGGAAGCGACAGGACCAGTCAGCTCACAGGGGATGGAGTATCTCACTTCACAGTCAAGTCTCTCTCACACAGACTCACCGTGTGCGCGCCGAGTCCATGTCCAGGACCAGCTTCGCTAAATGTTTCCTTTGTTTCTGGATATTTGGGATTTCCACCTGAGAGGACGAGAAGCACAGAGCTGGTTGTTTGTTGGTGTGAAAGAGGAAACAGACTCAGTGTTGTCAGAGGCTTTGCACCTGCGCTAGTTCAACTCTGTTCCTGGGTCTCATGCAGATTAGTTTACAGAGTGATCATGTACAGTCTGTCCTCTGGTACACACATGGAGATGCATGTGTCTGACCATGCCATGCACACACATGAATACATGTGTGTGCATGGATTATTCATCTAGTGGAAACACCAGAGAGCCTGAGCTGAAATGTAGCAGGGCTACGCCAAAGTCCATGTTGGCCTACAAGTAAACGTCATTCCCAAAACACTCTGAAGGCTATTAGGTGAAAAGAGGAACAAGTCATTATTGTGTCTTAATATGCTGAGGAGGAGTGCACACTCAGCCTCAGACTTTAATCATATAATATAATATACATTTAAAACATTTATTTTATTTTATTGTATTAATATTTTATAAAACATACATATCTATGGATTAAAACATAAAAGAGCATAAAGTGAAAAACAAAAAACACGGTAAATATACTCAGTAATTACTATAAAACAGTGAAGTATTCAGAAAATGGATGACAGTTAGATGACAGGCCTACATAATGATGAAGCAGACATTTTGCTTTGTTTTTCCTTTTATGGAAACATCACAAACAGTAAATATTCCCACAGTAGTGTTTTATATGAAAAGATTATTTTATTTACACTCAATTTTCCTGTGATGTGTTGTTTTGGATTTTATTAATTTTGATTTATAAATTAGTTTTAAATAATGATGAATATTTTAATCAATACTATTGAAAAAGTTTATAAAAAATTCTAATAACAAAAAAAGGAGCCTGAAGTATTTTTCTAATGAAGCATTATAATGTCTTATAATTTGTGTGGCCTTCGTACCTCAGCGAGGTCGTACAGAGGCTCGACGACGTCTCTCTCGATGGTGAGCTCGAACAAGATGAGCTCGTGAGCGAGTTTGTCCTGCGTCTCGCCGCAGAGCTTCAGCATCTTCCTGCAGCAGACAACAGGAAACATCAGTGAACAGTGAGGAGGACGATCAAACAGAGAGCGTGCGTCACACTGTGACATGTAGGTCTCTGAGGTCGTCTCTACGACACTACTCCTCAATAACACACTGTCTTTTTGGGAATCCTGAATTTCTTTCAAAACTCTGCAATAAACAGCAGAGAGCCTATACAGTACATGTGGTGTATGAATTAATGCAGGGAGGTGATGTAACACAGTGAAACTCTGTGTGAGGGCATAAACACACACATCAATACGTGCATATTAAACTGTAACATTTTTCTTTCCTGTATTTTTCTCTCTGTCAGTCGTCTGATATAAAAAAACACAGTAACATGATTTCATCTGTACAAGCTGCTGTGTTTGGAAAGAGTTTAAAAATATCTGCTTTATTTTATTGTCACCCAGACGTTAACTGAGCTCTTGGAAAAAAAAGTGTAATCTAGATGATACGGTGGCCCAGAAAGTTCACAAGAAAACACTGCAATTAAAAGGGACCGTTAACACCAACATCAAATCTTACCTCAAGTGCTATTTGATAGTTTTGGTGTGAGCTGCAGAGTGTTGGAGATATCAGCCGTACAGATGTCTGCCTGTTCTCCAGGATAATGGAACTAGATGTCACTCAGCTTGTGGAGCTCAAAGAGCCAAAAACTCAACATCAATGTCTCTTTGCAGAAATCATGACCTGGTTACTGAAGATAATCACAGACCTTGTTGTGAGCAGTTTCATGTAGGAACTATTTTCTTTCTACCAAACTACACCCGCCAACCGTATCACAGTGCAGAAGGAAGAGTGCATCTACTGCTAGCTCTCCTAGTGGGCCTTTTCCACTCTAACCTTTAACCGCACTGAGTCGAGCCACATCAAGCCCATTTGTATTTCCATTATCAGTTTAGTGCTCGTGCCTCGCCAAGCTGCACCAGAGATGGACTCTCTCCAGCGCAGGTCCAAAGACCAGGCCGCCTGCGCTCATGTGGGTAGTGGTGACGTCTCGACCCCACTTCTCCCTCCCAACAAGTGACTCTACTCACCTCTGGCTTTAGGAGGCTGCAGTGAGAGTCTCTTTCCATGGGATATTTAAAAATAGCAGCTTTGTGCATTTAGTCCTTCTCAGGCAAGCTCAGGGGTTTAGTGTTGCTGTAGCCCACAGGAAGTGAGGATTAGAATATATGACCTTCACATAATCCGCTCCAAATTTATCTATATTTTTAAAGTCATTACTAAAAGTGTGTGTCATATAAAAACTAAAGTGATGGTCAAAGTTGTCACAGTGAAATTTAAGGTGTGCTGATGGATTCACGTCATCAACTCATGCATTGTGTAACATTACAAGTTAACGTTCCACCTTAAAAGTTGCCGGCAGTCGGCCCAGTGAATGAAGTTATTTTTTTCTCTTTCATTTTATAGTTGTAGTTTACTGATGTATGAACAGAGGTTACATAAAACCAGAGTGAGCGTCCTCTACTGACCAATCAGACTGCAGGGTTTCTAGCTCCACCTTTTAGTACCAGATCTGTGTGCTAGGTACCCCAACAGAGGGGGGACCAAACATGGGGACGCTAAGGAACGCTTCTGTTGGGACCATCCACAACTTTCACTGTGGAGACAGCAAGAACGCATACTGAACTGAACTGAACTGAACTGAACTGAACTGCTTAGTGGAAATGGGGCTTTTGGTGTCTGTGATGGTGGGCATGCACAGCTGCAGTGTGCTGAACTCTCAGGACCACCGGGTGTGGACGCTTTCCTGGTTAAAAGCATAAAGTAGTTCACATTTCACAGTCGAGGATAATGTTTGTTCTCATCTGACTGTGTTTCTGAGTGTGAATGTAAAATCAGGTGTGGCTGACAGAGACGTTTCCTCCATGTCGATGCTTTTAGAAATAAAACGCTGCCAATGTTTCAGAGAATCAAAGATCATTTAAATGAGTGTGTGTGATTGTGCACTCACCCTAATAGAGACTCGTCTCCGAGCACAGCCGCCCCCTCCACCATACATTGTGCTAGTGTTGTTAGAGGAAGCTTCTTCTGCACACAACACACAAACAATTGATGAATCAGCCGCTCGGCTCAATGTGTCATTCAACACTGGAGAAAACAAATTAAATGAGTCACATGCACAAATACAAACAGACGTGTTGCTGCTGCTCACACGGACACAGACCTGAAGGAAAAGTCCATCCTCTCATTCCCTCTCTCACACTTTGATATCATCACTTTGTTTGTGGTTAACTGTGATGAAGGAGATACTTTGTAATGAAGATCACATTTTCTGTAATCGAGCTTGTCGTTCTCACTCTTCCTCTGCTCACACACTCAGTTCCTAATACTGAAGTGTTGTTTCATCTCACCGAGGGCGACCTGACAGACTTCTTGTCCACGTCCACGCCCTGCTGGCCCTGCAGACAGGCGGTCAACTTCTTGTGTGTGCTGTGGGAAACCTGCTTGACCAGCTCCAGACGCTTCTCCACCTGAGACACAAACAGACAACGCACAGATTACGTCAGTTTCAGGACGTCCCCATCAGCAGTTACAGACGTGCACATGCAGACACTCACAGCCTCCAAGAACGCAGCGTCTGCAGCTGTTTGTCAGCCATCAAAACAAGCTTCTCCTCAGCCACTGACACTTAAACGACACCATTACCTGTCTCTCATTTCATTATTAAACCAACTCAGTGGAACCGATGTTGCCGTCACTGAGGGCGGCATTAATCAGATCAATTACAGTGCTGCACCCCGAGTCAATCAGTGGGGACGTTCAGCCTTTTGTCTCCAAAAGAGGTTCAATTTCAGCGCTCGTTAGCGTCTCCTGAAGGCAGCTCAGAAATCCATTTGAAGAAGTCATTTCATGCACACTGAATACTTTGCACACATGATGAGTCTTTTCCTGTGAGAGGCAGCAAACATCATTCACAAAGAGCACACACACACACACACACACACACACACGCACACGCACGCACACACACACACACACACACACACACACACACACACACACACACACACACACTTGATTGATTAGTACCTGTAGTAGGTCTTCACTTAATACTTCTGTTTTTTCAGCCCTGGAAGAGAAGAGAAGAAGAAAGAAGAGGCTGTTAGGCTGGAGGGGAACGGCTCAATTGCATAACCTGGAACTGAGCAATAAACACACACACTACTCCATCAATGTAATTACATCATTTCTGTGCTCATAATAAAGAATATATTGCAGCTATAGCCTGGAGCTAAAAGGAAAAGTTTATTTTTCAACTGTTACAAGCGGCTCAAGCCGTGGATGATTTACTGTGCACAGGACCAGGACCCAAAGTGTCCCTGAAATGACCAACCAGGACGAGACACAACACCAAGAGACAGAGAAAAGACCACGATGAGCAAAACAACCACAAAGGGACAAAGATTCACCTCAGAGAGACACAAAACCACAGAAAGATGAATAAAGACTAAAGAAAGACACAAAACAACCACAAAACTGTAAGTGCTGCCTCGTGGTCGTAGCCTCAGGAACAATGCAGTTAAACTACAGTCTCACACAGCTCAGCACTCGGCACCACACAGTCTCCACAGGATGGAAGATAACGTGACTGCACACTGTGATGCAGAACTGTGGCATACATCAGCTGATCATATCATAACTGTCACATAGTGTCATTCACTTTAAGTCTGATGAAGCTGTTAAAATATGAGAAAGCTTGTTGTCTGATTTTGAGATAGTGTAATTAAATAATTATGATGAAAGCATGCAGTTATGCAGCTGTATCAGCTGCTCTGTGAGGCTGCGCTCAGACACAGCAGTGCTTTGAGCTAAATGCTAACATTAGCATGCTAACATGCTCACAGTGACAGTGCTGGTGTTTAGCAGGGGTCGTGGTCACCATCTTAGTGCAGGCTGTTAACAAACTCAACTCACACAGGAGGGAACGGTGCTTTTGTTGTGGACTACTTTCAGTGGCTGATTGATCCTCAATTGGTGCTTTAGCGCTAGTGTTGTCAACCTGGGTGTCGGGACCCCTCAAAGGGTCACAAGATAAATCTCAGGGGTCATTTTCTTTAGATGTCTTTATCTGGACACATTTCCCAAACAAATACAGCATGCTAACATTATTAGCACAAGCCTATGGCATTTTACATTGTATAAATTAGCCTAGCAGCTAGCGGACATTCCCTCCGCTCATATGAAGCCAGGATTAGAAGCTCTATGGCGCAGAGGAAGAGAACACATCAGGCTCTGACACACACAGAGAACTTGTCAGCAAAAACATTCACTGTTAGCTTCAGTCTCCTCATTGGGTTTACTGACAGTAAGAAAAATACAGAGCCTTACCCTTTATATACCCTGTATCTTTTTTTTTTCTTTCTTTTTTTTATACCTGTCTGCACTGGTCTTCGTAGCTTAGCGCCACGAAAGGGTGTAAGCTTCTTATGAAGATTGATGCACTGTTAATCTTGCAGTCAAGTATTTTATACCCAGACTGTGCGTGGTTGTGACCGTCACCCACCCTCCCTGGAGACTAGCCTATCAGCCTTTATTGGAAAAACTTCCTAATATGAGTCAGAGAGGGCCGTGATACACCAAAGTGTGTCAAGGGGAAAGTAAGGAACAAGCAGGGGGGACTGAGGGGCAGGTGCTTAAGTCCTGAGTTATATAGCGACAGTGCATGTGGAGAAGAAGGAGGAAAAAACAAACAAACAAACAAACAAACAAACAAACAGAGGAGAAACAGGCAGTGTAGCTGATGTATTGTGGCCTTGAGGTGGTTGTGCTCCATACAGATTATCAAAAATAAACATATACACGTCTACTATACTGTAGTGAAAACCCTAAACCCTAACCCTCTCCAGCCATCGCCAAGCCCAAAATCATCCATATATTCCTGTATTACCTTAGCCGATTGTGATTGCTTTGTGTGTACTGAGTTACTAGATCGGTCTAATGAAGCATTTAGGACTGTGTTAAAGTCTCCTCCAATTACAGTTGTCAAGCTGTCTGATAGGTTAGATAGTAAAGAGAAGATTGTGTGAAAGAAGGCTGGATCATCATTATTAGGGGCATACAGATTAACGATTGTATATAATTTGTTAAAGATTGTTGCCTGAATAATGATGTAGCGGCCTTCTGGGTCTGTTACCGTGCTGTTTAAAGTAAATGGTAGTCTCTTGTGGACCATGATAGAGACACCTCTTTGTCTGTTGTTATAGCAGGATGAAAAAATTTGATTAAAATTTGGATCTTTAAGAGATTTTTCTTCTGACTTTAGCAAGTGGGTTTCTTGTAGGAGAAAAATATCTGTTTTCAATTTTGTGACAAAGTCCATCACTTTAATTTTTTTCGCCTGTGAGCGGATGCCATGTACATTCCAGGAAACCAAGTTTAGGTGTGACATTGACAAAGTGGGGGTTTTATCATACTG